CAGGAACTGAAAGTTCATTCTCAGCACCTATATGGAAATCGTCCATTCAGCTGATAAAATGAATATAGTAAAAAAGACAAAGTTATTTGCTTTGAGAAAACTCAGGAAGTAATTTCTTAAAGATTAAATGAATCCTTAATCAGCAAGACTGACAAAAATTCTTACCAATAGCTGTTTCTAAAAGTACACTGATACTAGGATTTTTAAATATTGAAGAAAAATACCCCTACCTCTTACTTCTTGAGACTGGATAACTCAAATATCTGAAATGAGACCTGCACACTGAAATTCAGGACTTTTAGCTTCAATGAAAACTGTAACCAACCAAACCAGGCTCCAACTCAAAGATGATAATCAATGTTCACCCTTTGCTCAGTTACATAGGAAACTTACTCAAATGCCACTAGATGATATGCAGAAATCCCATGATTTTTCCTTTCAGCATGTCTCAATCACCTTCTTTTATTCCTAATACCCAATACCTATGCAGGTGCTGAAGCTCAAACCCTGACTCGTTCTCACAACCTTCTGGATCCTGGCTCCAGGCCTTCATTCTTGCAATCCATTATGCACTAGAGACTCCTTCATCAGCTAAAAACCATTCTGAGGCTTAAGGACCAGATCAAACTCGTTGGGGTTTTTCTTACCTGACTGCAATTTCACCTTCTTTTTTATTATATCACAATCTAAACTCTTACAAGGCAGTCTAGAACCTTGCTGTCTTCCTGTCTCAAACAACCAGCATAACTTCTACCATAATGTCCTGTCTTCTCTCCACCAAGCCATCTTGTCCATCTCACAGGGACAATTCAAATTCAACCCTTGCACACACATCCCTCTGATGCCAGCTCTTACCAGCCTCTTTCTTTCCTTAATTACTCTAGCAATTACAGTATACAACATAACTCTAACATTTTATCAAATACCAGTTCACTATGGAGAAAGAACAATTGCGTGATCTTGGATAGGTCATTTAACCTCTGTGGACCGTAACTTCTTCTCATGTAAAATAATGTAAGTCCAAGCTAAAAGATTATTAAAGGTCTTCCATTCTACAAATCCTGTAAAGTAATATAATATACTGCTTTGTACTGTTTCACATATTAATCTCCTTTCTCTTACAAGATGTTAGAGCTGCTGAAGGAAGAAAGTACATTTCATACTTCTTCCCCAATTCTTAAAGCAACTGATCCTGGGATCTGGCTCAAGGAGGTGCTCAGTAAGTGTGACAATGAAATAGGCCAAGCAGCACCAAGGACAAGAGGACACTGTAAAGAGCCAAAAGTAACACGAGACCTATTTGTGAAGTAGATTCAGGAAGCTGTAAATGTGATGGGTCCCTGCTAGAGAAGATACCTAGGTGATGCAGACAGGGGTGATTCTCTTCTACAGCTGAAAAAAGCAGGAGGCCAGCTCTAGAATGGAATGAGCACAGGTTTAAAGTTATTTTAATTACTATGCAGCACTATCTGCTCTGCATTCACCCTTCCACAGCAGCTGCAACTTAGGTAAACTCAGGCAGTTTTATGTGACCTGCAGGTGGACTATTCAGGGTTTGTTTTTTTTTTGGTACTCAGGAATGAATCCAAGGCCTTGCCAATGCTGGGCAAGCTGTCTACCACTAAGCTACATCCCCAACCTGTTATTCAAGAGTCTTGTCAGTGGAGAATTGTGGGACTATCTCAAACCTGTGTTACTCTTAACAAGCGGGGAATAATAGGTGCATTTATAGCTATGTAAGAATCAAAGCCTGCAAGAGAAGTCCTTCTATTTTAAAGCCCCAGTGCTTTTCCCTCCCTTCACCAAGAAAAACCCAGGCTTATACAAGAGGGAAAGTAACAAAGAGCTCCTTTCTCCAGGCAGTAGCAGGTCAATATGTAGACAGAAATTAAGGAGGGTAGCCAAGCGTGGTGGCGCATGCCTGTAACCCCCGGCACTTGGAAGGCTGAATCAGAAGGATCATTTACAAGTTTAAGACCAGCCTGGGCTACAGAGTCAGTTCAAGGCCAGCCTGAGCTATATAGCAAGATCCATGTCTCAGAAAAACAAAAATGAAAGAAAAAGTAGACAACAGTCAACGCTAATCGGGAACTCAAGTTACAGAAGGGATGTAATCTTTCTGAACTCTAGTCAGAGCCAGAGGGCAAAGACTATTTTGTTATCTTGAAGTATACTCCATACCCATATGCATAGGTCTTCTTCAAGGGAAGGCAAACAAATGTATTTCTATTTCAATCAAAGTTAAAGTGGTCAATGCTATCCTAGCCACTTGTACACATGGTTCAGTTTATAGCTAACATCCTAAAGAGTTATCAACTTACATCAAAGCCAGTCAAATGTGGCTGCTTTACTCCTTGAAGGAGCAAATGAAGAGAAACTGTTTTGTTTTTTAAACTAACAGCTCTTAAGACAGAGCATGTCCCTCCTCTTAACTGTTATGAGACAAAGGGCAGCTACTGAATTGACACTCTTTTTCTTTTGGAGTAAAGCCACAAGATTACTAACAAACAGCTAATGGCCACTGTTCAAAAGACGTAATGGCATTATGACTTCATATCCCAGTTATCTACCAAATTGGAAAGAACCAAGTATATGTCTTTTTCTCTCTCCCCACAGAGTATCTGGAAAAAAAAAAAAAATACGTTAGCGCTGATTCACTTTTTCCCCATCATAAAAATGGGGGAAGGAGGTTTTTTTTTTTCTTTTGGTCTTTTTTGAGACAGGGTCTCACTATGCAGTTCAGGCTGGCCTTGAGCTCACTTTGTAGGCTGGTCTCAAACTCGCAACGATCCTCCTGCCTCAGCCTCCCAAGTGCTGGGATTACAGACATGTGCCACCATGCCCAGCTGGGAGGAAGTGTTCAACAGTATCATAGTCGCTGATTATGAAATGCGAAAGGTTCTAAATTAGTTCCAAACCTGAATGATTTAAGATAAAGAACTGATAAAATGTTGATAGTCTAAGTCTAGGACAAATTTCTGAGCCAGCAATCAAGGAACACTGTTGTCTAAAAACAGACTTCAAGGGGCTGGGGATTTAGCTCAGCGGCACAGCGCCTGCCTGGCAAGCGTGAGGTCGTGAGTTCGATTCCTGGTACCAGAAAAAAAAAAAATAAATAAATAAAAACAGACTTCAAATCCCTACTTTTATTTTAAGTTGATTTTGTGTTTAATATGCACTGGGAGAAAAAGATAAACTACTATGCTTTCAGGATCAAATTCTTAAGGTAAGCTTAAAGATGGGAAGGAGAGACCCGGCCCTACAAGGATTTTGTACATGCTACAAATGTGGGTACTTGAGTACCCAGTCTTACTATGGTATCACAAATGGGTCATCTGTTGAAAACAGTAATCACTCACAAAAACATCAAATTATCTCTATACACCAATGCAATCTAAGTTATCCTTGCTCTGACTTCTAGTTCTCTAAGAAACAGAAGATACAGTACACTACATGTCTTTTTAGAACTTACAGCTCCTTGTCTGCTTCCTGATCAATTGTGATGATTGTGACAATACTCACAAAGAATTTAGTGTCACAATAAAGTTTCCTTCTCCCTTAAGGGCTTTTCAGAATTACCTTCTATGAAGATCAACCTACATTTCTAACATTAAGAAATGACTGCAGGTAACTTCAGAGAACGCCGTATCTTGGGCACTACAGGCAAAATAACTATCACTACATCTGTATAATTTTTTTAAAAAGTCCTTTATATAGTTCTTTCTATAAAGCTTTTTTTTTTTTTTTTTTTTTTTGTCTTTTTGAGACAGGGTCTTTGTAGCCCAGGCTGGTCTCAAACTCGCAACGATCCTCCTGCCTCAGCCTCCCAAGAGCTGGGATTACAGATGTGTAAAGCACACCTAAGCCCGGCTATAAAGCACATTTTTCCTTTTTGTTTTTTGAGACAAGAGTTTCACTATACAGTCTTGCCATGAACTCACCATGTACCCTAGGCTTGCCTCAAACTCTCGATCCTTCTGCCTCAGCCTCCTGAGTACTGAGATTACAGACATGCACCAGCCTGTCTGGGACATTTTTGCTTTCTTCCTCTTAAATTGCTTTCTTCTTCTATAAAGTCTATGAATTTGTTTCATTCAGGGGTCTAAGCAAATGACTGGCAAATCCCAACAACTGAACTAAGGCTCCAAGTAGAGAATATCAAGACTTGAGACACAGTTCAGCTTTTCCTCAGTTAAAGTCAACACACTCTAGAATAACACCCCTGTAAAGATAAATTACCTAGCCAAATGAGGAAACTGTGCGCCGGTCAACTGAGCAGACAACATAACTAACAGTGCCAGGTGGGGAGCGAATGCTCATGTAAATAGTGGGGCTCAAAATAAGCTGCAAACTATGAAGAAGCTTATTTCTAAACTGTCAGCAGATTTCTTTTGTGCAATTAGATTTTAATAGAGTAACTGCTCAAGTTTCTCTTAAGAAAATCAAAATCTGACCTGTACAATAGCAAACTGAACCTTATTATTTACAACTCCATTGGTTTTTTTCCACAAAGAATAAAAATACATTGAGGTTCTTCAATGAGTTTTGGCATACACTTCTAATAACACCTCTAAACCGGGAAAATTAATTTCTAAACTACCAAGATCATATTACAAAATGCAAACTCTTTTGGTTCTATAAATTGAGACTAAATATTTCAAGTTTAGGTCTTTTAAAAATTCTGGTTATTCATCCCCTTCCTTTCTATAATCTTACTAGTTTGACTTTTCCTGAAATATTACCAGTGTCAACAAACAGAAATAATCCAGGCAGTCACACAAAGGCAGTTAAAGACCACACTTCACACGAACTCTCGTAAGTCATACCGAATATTCTACCCAGCATCTGTAACAAGCTACCCAACTTTAGCCTGATGCTAAATGTTAAAAGTGTGCAATGAGAAAAGAACAAGCACAGGCTCTTTTGTGTTACCAGAGTGAAGAAGGTAAAGAAGCACAAGGAGAGGTGACCTCAGCATCGTGCTTGGCACCAACACTTACCTTGAGGATGTCCCCCCTTTTGAAGCTCAGCTCATCGTCTGCAGTAGCTTTGAAGTCATATTTGGCGATGGCTTCCATTCTCAGCGATGCTCAGTGCTCAGCAGCCTGAAGCACGGGGGAAGGGAGTCTTCCCTGCTGAAGCAACCTAGCTCTCCCGGCTCTGCCTCACCTCTCTTCTGGGAGTACTCCTGCACGCAGAGAAGCACAATGCCACCCTGAATCAGAAGAGGGATGATTAGGAGAAGTGGCCCGGATCCACAGCAGCCCCGCCCTGCCAATCGGCCTACTGTCCCAGCCCCCACGCCCCCTGGCTTGGCTGGGCTCAGCCCTCCTCCTCCCTTCCAGGCAACAGCCTGGCTCTCCTTCTTCCTCTTTTCAGCCTCAGCCCCAGGCGACTGACAAGCCCAGCCGCCAATGGCAAAAGCGCTTGAGCTATTCCCGAACACACTTCCTCTTCCCTCCCACTGAGTGCGCTTGGTGTGCAGTGTGCGGAACCGGCTGGAGTCCCACTCAGTCTCCACCTTTCCTCTAGCTCCCCCTCACACTTCTTCCTGGGTTCCCAGTGCAGTACAGTACACAGAAAGGAGGTCCACCCTGAGGGCCGCACCTGATTCTTCTCGGTTCAACAAGCCTATTTCTCTCCCTTCTCCCCAACAATGCTTCTTGGCTTCCTGTGAACATTGCCTTTCCTACTCCTTGGTTGGAAGCAAGCCAGGCAGGCTTTAGTCTCATGCTGCTTTACTCTCTTCTCAAAAATGAATCTTACTACCATGAGCACCAGTGGATTTCCTCTACCACCTTCAAACTGTCATCAGCCATTCAAGCCACCAGAGAAAGATACCCAGCTGGGAGCTCGTTGGTGGTGAATTGTGCTTGCATAGGCTCCCTCTCCCTTGAAGATCCCCAAAACTTTGGGGTTTACCACTAGTCCTGAAAATAAACCGAGCATTCCAGAAATAGCCTCTACGTTATTTCTAACTAGCCTAACCAACATAGCTGAAGTTGCAATCTATACTTGGAAAGAATTCCTTTTAAAGAACTCAAGCTGCCAAATATCTAGTCTGGAGGAAGAAAGTACAGGGACTGGTGTCAGAAGGTCACAGTGAAGGCACAGTTACCCTGAGCACAGCTGTTCTCAGAAGAGAAAGAGGTAAACTGCATTCTATACGTGGGAGATTAGGTTATGATGGGCGGGGGGGGAATCACTACCACTAGTAAAGACTCAGGACACAACTGTGACCTTTGCATACCTAGTGGAAAAATAAAGCCCCGTTCTTGTTTTCCTACATGCTGAACAAAAGCAGAAAACAAGGACATTGGCAGAATAAGGACAGTTTATTTATAGTGGCACCTTTGTTGGACAATTATCATCTAGCAGATCATTTGAGGAGCACGAGTGATTGCTATTCTTTTGTTCTTAAGTTAATAATTGAGGCATTAATCAAGCAGAGCTACAAACAGACTAGGCACTAAGCCAGCAGAGAACATTCAGATTAGTCCAGAGTGAATATTACCCAGAAGGAAAGAAATCACCTGGTAGAAGTCTTTCCAGTAAATTCTGAAAGCCAAACATTCTGCTGCAGGTAACTAATAAGCTAAGCCAATGCTTATTCTTTCACGCCATACCTAAGCTATTCTATGTGGTGCTGGCTCTAAAGAGGAAAGTAAAGAGTCTCAGTAAGTATATAAGTATTTTTAAACATAAAAAATTAGTCGGCATATTTACATTTATGTATCTTTAAGTACCCTTTACTTATATTCTAGTTTTTAAGTCAAACTAATCCATGTACATAACTTTAAAAGAGTATTTCCCCACCAATATCCACAAGCAGTCATCCCGTTTTGATTTTAGCCTTCTCTTCATAGTTACTTACAGTACTTCCAAGTAATACCTTTCTATTGCTGTTTCTTAGTTAATTCTAGTGATTATCTATTCCCTAAGTGAGGATTTAGCTGTCCCGACCCAGCCGATTTCCCCCACCATATTCCACTAGTACTACACATCCCAGTCTTAGCAACAGTAATGTAATACATTATACAATATTGTTCATTGATGATTTAAATAACGTACTACACCACAACCAACTTTTCTTTTTTGTACACGCTTTCCATTTTCCCAAGCACTAAAAACTGGTTTTTTTTTTTTTAAACTTGGCTAGTTTCCAGCGTAGACACTTTTACCTTTTTTAAAACAAATGCTCCAAATTCTCTGCTATATGCTATCAATATCTTCCATAGCCCATTCATTTTAACTGGTCCCCAGGACAAATTGCTGACACTCTACGTCAATGTTAAGAATCCAAAGAAAAACTGAATGGATTTGGAAAAAAAAAAAAAAATCAGAAACCCACAGCACTCCCACTGCCAATGTACCACACAGTAACAGAGCATAAACTTTTATGTCATTCAGGATTTAGAATACCATAATTTTACAGCAGTAGCATAAAAACCAAGATAGTTCATAACATTCCCTTTCTTCAACTTACCTGCCACAAGTTTCAGAGCCAAAGCTTAAAACGATTAATACTCCAGAAAGTTGTAATTATTCAAGCAACCATTCAAATAACTATTGTTTTTTCTGTGGGTTTTTTGTTTGTTTGTTTATTTGCTTGTTTGCTTTTGAGAAAGGACCTTTCTATGTAGTTCAGGCTGGCCTTGAACTATGTAACACAGGTTGGCCTAGAACTTGTGGCAATCCTCATGCCTTGGCTTCCCCAGTTCTGGGATTACATATGTGTGCCACCATGCCGGGGCTATTGCTTTGTGAGACTGTCTGACAGGAAATTACCCTAATACTTCCACGGCTGTGCAAAATGAAAACTAGCATCTTATTTAGAAAATTCAAAGAGGTCAACTTATTAGGTTATGCACAGAAAAGGAATTGAAAACTTTCATTAAAAATAGAAAAAACTCCCACTCTACCCCATATATATACAATACTAATTACTAATTACTAAAAGGAAGAAATCTGAAGATAGACACAATGTACAGTATAATTCTGGGGAGGGGGTGCTGTGGATTGAACCCAAGGCCTTATGCGTATTAGGCACCCTTTCTATTACTACTCAGCTACATCCTCAGCCCTGGCCCAATAATTTTTTTTTTGAGACAGGGTCTTACAGCTGGTCTTAAACTCACTATGTAGCCCAGGTTGGCCTTGAATTTGCAGCAATCTTGCTTCAGCCTCCCAAATGCTGGGATTATAGGTGTGTACCACCATGCCCCACAATAGATTTTAAGAGGTTGCTGTTTCTCCCAAGAAAATCAAGTGGCAGTACATGTAATACTGCTGCCTGATAAGAGTATCTCTAAACTATTATGTATCTTTAAGTACCCTTTAATCCTGGAAACTCACAGCAATCCTCCAAACACATCTTTAAAAGCTTTAATTGTTCATTTCAAATGATAAACATTGTATCTGAAAATGCAGTGCCCTGGAAGTATTTTAAAGATTTTATTCTATTTCCACTTAATTCTCTTTTTCTCAAATTCACAGCAATAAAACACATGACTCTTATTAAGCCACTGTATCTTAGTGTTGAGTCTGCATGGTCTTTAGAGGCAGGTTACTGCCACTCATTCAAGTAATGACCTTGTTGGTTACAGTTATAATTTTGGGCAACCCTTTTAAACAAGCTCTAGTTTTCTGATCTGTAAAATGGGATAATAACTACCTTATAAGACCCACTGAGCATTAAATTAGGCAACAGAGATAATACATGTGAGGTGCTTTGGACATAACCTGACACATAACAGTTACTCAAATTTAAAGTGTTACTCTAAGCTGGGCTAACGCAGGAGGATCATCATGAGTTTGAGGCCAGCCTGGACTACAAAGTTAGCTCAAAGCCAGCCTGAACGACATAGCAAGACCCTGTCTCAAAAAAAAGACAAAAAAAAAATTTAAATAAATAAATAAATCTCTCTATTTAGTCAGGGATGGTGGCACACAGTGAGGCAGAAGGGTGCAAGATCTTGACCAGCCTAGGCAATTTATCAAGACCCTGTCCCCAAAACAGAACAAAACAAAAACAAAACAAGACTGGCTCAGCGTGAAGGCTCTGGATTCAATCTCCAGTATTACTAAACAAATAAAAAACAAACAAACAAACAAACAAATAAATGCAAACTAAGATAATGAGGTTTCTTTCACATACTAACTGGAAAAATTATTTTAAAGATTTCTAATATCCAGTCTCTGATATACTTTGGGTAAACAGATTTACTCTGTCATTCACTCAACACTGTAAGCAGTTACATGGCTCACTACATAGAACCATCAGAGTCCACACTGTAGCTGGGAATTAATTAGCTCAATCTTTCTGGAAGGCACAGTAATTTGGTAAAATCTATTGACAATTTAAAGACAGATTTTCTTGATTAAGCAATGCCACTTCACAAATTTATCTCACTGAAATGAGATATACAATATGCATATGCACAATGCAAAATGCACCTGATCAATATCCATCAGGTTTTGTTTTTTTCTGTTTGTTTGGTTTTTTTTTGAGACAGGATCTACTTCAGGCTGGCCTTCACCTTGATATTTAGCCAAGGCCAGCCTCGTACTCAGCAATCCTCCTGTCTCAGCTTCCTAAATCCTCGAATTAGAGGGGTCCACCACCACAGCTGGCTCCATGAGTTTTTCTAGAAAGTTATTTTCTATATAAGTAATTAGACATCAAGTTAAAAAAAACTACAGAAAAAGTATAACATCTCATTTCTGTACAGCAAAATATCAGTATATGCTAAAAAAAAAAAAAAAAAATTCAAGCTGGGAGTGGCGGCACATGCCTATAATCCCAGCAGTTGGGAGGCAGAAGGACTGCTGCAGAGTTCAAGGCCAGTCCGAACTACACAGTGAGTCCAAGGCCAGCCTGAACTACATAGCAAAACCTTGTCTCTAAATAAATAAATAAATAAATAAAAATTTAAAGATTCAGAAGGCTGGCAACTGTTATGTCTACAAGTGAGATCATTTCTGCACATCTCAATTGTATTTTGTTTCTACAGTAAGCATATATGACTTCAGTAATTAAAAGAACAAAAGTTTAAAAGCTTACAGATGCTCTGCAGTTAGAGCTGGATCCAACTGTCACTTTACCACTTACAAACTGAATGACACTGGAGAAATACCTTATATCCTCTAATCCCTAATATCCCTCAACTGGAAAATGGGGGTAATATCAGCATCTACTTTATAAAGTCAATTTGGAAATTGAGGTAAAGCCTGACTGGCAGGGTCTCTGGCATAAAGACATGTGAACTGACATCATCAGTCCCTTTTCAAATATCAGTCTATCTACTGTGAGAGTAAATTTAGATCATGCACCTTAATTAACAGCCCTATTAAATACAAACTTGGGCTAGAGATACAGCTTAGTGGTAGAGCACTTGACTAGTATGCAGGAGACAAAGTTTGATCTCCAGCAGCACAAAAACAAAATTTTTTTTTAAAAAAAAATATACACTTAAAAGTCATTCCACATCACAGTCCCAACAATGCCCCCAAATTTACACATATAAAAACTAATCATAACCCGGTACAATGGCATACACAAGTAATCCTAGCATCTAAGAGGATCAAATTTTTTCTTTTTAATCTTTTTGAGACAGGGTCTTGCTATGAAGTTCAGGATGGCCTCGAGCTCACTTTGTAGCCCAGGCTGGTCTTGAACTTGCACCGGTCCTCCTGCCTCAGCCTCCCAAGTGCTGGGATTACAGGCATGCACCACCACGCCCGGCTAGGATTAAAATGTTGATCATGGGCTGGGGTTATAACTCAGCAGCACAGCACCTGCCTGGCAAATATGAGGTCATGAATTCGATTCTGGTACCAAAAAAATTTCTTTGACCACAAATTTTTTTAAAAAAAGAAAAAAAAGAGTAGGGGATATAGCTCAGTGACACAGCACCTGCCTGGCAAGCACAAGATCCTGAGTTCAATTCCCAATACAAAAAAAAAAAAATTTAAAGAGCTCAGGATTTGACTTAGTGTGAAGGCCCTTGGTTCAATCCCGAGAACCTCAAAAAAATAACTAGCCAGGCGTGGTGGCACACACCTGTAATCCCAGCACTAGGGAGGCTGAGGCAGGAGGATCATTGCAAGTTTGAGACCAGCCTGGGCTACAAAGTGAACTCAAGGCCAGCCTGAACTGCATAGAGAGACCCTGTCTCAAAAAGACCTAAAACAAAACAAAACAAAAAAAACTAATCACACCTATAATTACAATGCTATTCTAGGGCTTAGGGATATAGCTCAGCGGCACAAGCGCCTGCCTGGCAAGCACAAGGTCCTGAGTTCAATTTCCAGTACAAAAAAAATAAATAAATAAAAATACAAGAATCATACAGTGGTATTCTAAATATCTACTTCAAATACATAGAAAGTGTCACTTTAAGTTCAGTAACTTCAGGTCCCACACAAGTCTATTTTATGACTGCATTTCAAAACAATTTTGGTCCTTAGACCTTCTACATCAAAATTCCCTCTTTTGATTGACTCATTGTTGGGTGTCCTCTGGAATTCTGCCAGAGCATAATTTTAGAAAGAATCCCTGGTGGTACTTACATGTATAAATCTTAAGAATTAGCTGGCGTAGTGATACACACCTGATATCAGCAACCAGGAGTCTGAGGCAAGAGGACTGCTGAGAGTCTGACGCCAGCATGGGCTACAAAGTGAGTTCAAGGCCAGTCTGAACTACAGAGCAAGATTCTTTCTCAACCCCACCTCCCAAAAAATAATCACTGCTATATTCTAAGAGTAGTTTAAACAAATTTTTAAATTTGCATTCCAGCCAAGTGCACTGGGGCCTCCCTGCAATCCCAGCTGCTCAGACTCCAAATATGAGACCTCCAAATAATATAAGGGAAATATAACTCCCAACCTGCTAGATGTCTCATAGGCTGAGTTTGTGTTCGAAGTTAGGAGTAGGAAGTATTTATTGAGAGAAAAACTTCTAAGACAGAAGAGGTCCTGAGTCGGTGGCCGGGGATCCCACTTCTCAATGGAGTTTTATAGAGCAAAACCTCAAGGTGAGGTAGGTCGAAGGTGGGACAGAACTATAATCAGTAAGATTACAAGTACAGTCGATTAGATAATATTGATCAAACGGAAAAATCACAGGATGGGTGTGAGGTGGGAAAAAATTAGGGTGAACCAATAAGATTACAACAAGTATAGTCACTTAGGTAACACTGATTAAATGGGGATCAAACTGGGAAGCAAGTCACATAGCAAGTGCACCTGGGACAGACAAGGGCTCTCCTGGAAGGGGTGGGTTAAGAAGGTTTTGGTCCCCCCACCCAAGGGAGACTGATGCCTACTTAGAATATCCATCACTGCAGTTCATCACTAGGGGAAGTATATGGGTATAATAATTCCTCTTTTTCTTGAAGCCTGGTCTTTAGAGAATAGGCCTTCAGCCACAGATGTCTTCTGCACTGACCTCTTGAGAACTCAGCCCTGTCTGACCGCCTACAATATTTCTAAATAACTTAGCTATCTATAATAGGAAGATGGCAAGTTCCAAACTACACTGGACAACTTAGTGAGACCCTGTCTCAAAATAAAAAAAGAAAGTATTTAAAAGAGTTTCAGATATAGTTCAGTAATAGAGCACAAACCCCTGGATTCAATCCCCAGAACTGCTCCCCTCAACTGCATTCCAGATAATGCATTACGGTGTCTTTGCACAAGATTAAAGTAATGCATATTCATTTGGCACAACTGGGGAAAAGCCAACTTCAACAAATAAGAAAAGGCAAAACAAAGAATCTCAATGGCCATTTCGTAACAGTGGGGAGTTCCTGTGAATTAAGCCAGTACAGTAACTATGTACTTATTTTTCTTAGGAGAGCATAGGGGCTTTCTATTACGTATTACTTCTACTCTTTTGCTCTACTTAGGAGTTTGATAAGAGGAATTCTAGAAGAATATCAAGTACCATTAACAAGCAGTATGTAAAACACACCAATTCTCTAATCTGAAAATGTGCTGAAGAAGTAAACTGCCTCAAGCATTTAAATGCTTACCGTTTGTGTCAAAGAAAAACAATGCTAAGAATTAACTTTTTCTGAAGGAAGGGCGGTAACTGGGGTTTGAACCCAGGGCCTTTACCCTGACCTATATCACCAGCCCTTTTTACGTCATTTTAAATTTTGAAATATGCTTTCACTGAATTGCCCAGGCTGACCTAGAACTTGTGATGCTCCTGCCCAGCTTCCTGGAGTGGTGGGATTATAAGTGTGCGCCACCACACCAGACTAAAATTTAACATTCTTTTTCCTTGGGATATGGAAAATTTTGAACATGGGAAGGAACAAATAAAAATATTTCTGTGAAAAAAAAAAACAACAAATGTGGGGCAGAGAATATAGGTAAGAAGAGCTCACGAACAGCACGAAGGGGGCGCTGGGTTTGATCTCCAGCACAAAGAAGGAGAAGAGGAGGAGGAGGAGGAAAAAGGCAAAGGCAGCCAAATATAATAGATATTAATTTTTTTAAAAAGACCGATGAATAAATCAGTACTACTACAATGGATAGACTTAACCAATTTGTCAACGGCCTAAATAAATTATAGTCCTTTAAATTTTCCAGGTTATGTTAATTCTATTTTACCATAGGTCTACAGTTGATTTTGATTTTTTTAACCCTAACCACCCATACTGAAAGTCACCTCAGCCCTAAACTGACCCAATCTTCTTCATTAATACAAAGAGACAGAGGAAGAAAAACAGAAGCAGTCACAAAAATCTTAACGTGAAGAAAACACTAAAACACAAGCAAAACACACTTGTACCCTTGTGACTCTATTGATTACTTAGGGATGAATCCGATCCTTTGAGCCTCCCAGTTCCCAAGGGGAGTACCTAAGTCTCACACAGCTCTCTAGCAACCCGTCTGGCTGAAGGACTCAGTGGACGCTTAAAGGTAAAAGAATCAAAGCAGGAAACAGAAGATATCTTCCCGCGGAAGAAAACGTAATCCTGAAAGGAGAAAGAGAAGCCACAGAGCCAAAAAGGCAGAAAGTTTGAAAAACTACGCCTGAGAAGCGGCAGAAAGGAGGAAGAGGAAGTAGATTAGAAAAAAAGAGGGGTGAGAGAAGCAACTCACTAGTGTTACAAAAAGCAAGCATTTCGCGTCCCTAGTGCAATTAGACCGAGCGAGCAGCCGATAACGGCAGAAGTACTAAGTGAAAGAGAGATAAGAAAGCCAAAACAGACTAACGCGAAAACTTCCCGTGTCTCTTAGTTTTTTTGAGCGCCAACAGCTCCTGAAGATAGACCTCAAGTGCACTTCAGCTCTTCTGCAATTTGCATTTTTATAGCATTTGAAGCGAGCCTAGAGTCACTTTCTAAACAAGCCATAATTCATCTGCCTTCCAGTCGCGTACGTAGGACAGCCTCGCAAACGAGCATTAACAGCGCTCTCGCGCGCTGAAATCTTTCTCCGAGCGCTGCGACCTGCTGCTGCTCATTTTTCCTGACCAGTATTTGCTAAGTAGCTTAAAAAAGAAAGCCACCAGCACAGAGGTATCTCTACGGGCTCCAGTAGCAAACATTCCAACTCACAGTGGATAGATTTCCGCAAAAAATTCCCCCAAAGACGCCAAGAGACGGTGACGTGGTTGCCGTGCAGGTCGAAGCAGCAGCAATCACCACGTTTGCAGCCCGCACCGAATCCCCCGCCTCCCGGGCTAAATCAGCCTGACTCACGGAATTACCACCCTGCGCTTCTCGGGTGCTCCAGGGCCCCTTCTACGCAAACCCTCCCGACGCGAGGCAGCAGAACTCATTAGGGAGCCCCCCTTCTACCCGGGATCCCCGGCTCTGTCCAGAGCCTGAGGAGGACGGTCCCCAGGGAGGAAGCGCCCCAAAAGGGGAAACGCGAAGTCCGGAGCCTGGAGGTTCCGCTCCTCGTCCCGAGCCTCGCCGCCACGACCGGAACCCTGGGTCCGCCTGGCGGCCCCGGGCAGGTTGGGCGCGGCACCCCGGCACCCCGCCACCGCGAGGAGAGGAAGAGACACCGGAGTCCGCCGAGCGCCGCCGCCCGCACTCACCGTGGCGCAGCTGTCCTCCTCGCGCCCGGTCCGCCTCTCCGCAGCGCTGCGAGCGGCCGCGGACCCTGCTGCTGCTGCTCCCCGAGGGCAGCGTCTGCTCCGGCCGGCGTCACCACCTCAGCTTCGGTCGTGGTCGTCGCTGCTACCGCCGCCGCCGCCGCCGCCGCCCGGTAGCCCAAGCAGCACAGCCTCCTCGCTTCCGCTCCTTGTCCGGGTCCCGCGAGAACTTCTCCACGCGGCCCCGCCCCGCCTCGCAGCGCCCCGCCCCTGCGAGACTTCTCCCGGCGGAAAAGGCCCAGAGCGCAAGCGCTCCGTCGCTGCCGGGCCCCCGCAGGTAGAAGCGCCGCGTGCCGAGACGCATGCGCAACACCGCCCCGCAGCAGGTGGCACCCGCCTGGCTCCGCCCCCTAGTCGCAGTAACTCTATACTTGCCAGAATGGATACCTTACCGTTCTGTCCTGGAGGAATAACACTTCCACGTTGAAATCACTTTACCTTCGTTTTCCACTAAACCTTAGCATTGACAGTGGAGGGAAGAGAGGTCTTCTAGCAAGGCGCATTGCACATATGCAGAACCGGGTCTTCGCTCAAAGGAAGGAACAACCGGGATGTGGGAATGGAGAAAAAGAAAGAAGGCAAAAAAAAAAAATAATAATAAAAATTTAAAAAAACAAAAAAATATATATATACGGATAGCTGGGATAACTGTACTGCTGATGTCTGATGGTTTATTGAAAGGAACAGTTAATGCTTAAAATTTTTTATATTTTGACCAATTTTGCATGCTTATATCTGGTAATCTGAACAACTGATTTGAAGACAACAATATGCAATAGAACAACCACTGGTGAATTCCTACCATCTTGCCTAGTGAAACTCTGTATTGTCTCTAATGTTTTATTTAATAATTATTTTTTATTCTCTTTAATGGTTTGAACAAACTTCCATTCTTACATCTGGTAATCTAAGCAACACAGTTGAAGATAACAATATGTAATATAACAACTACTGTTAATTCCTATCATTTGTTTTGAAACCCTCTATCATTTTAATGTTCTTGCTTTGTTTTGTTTATGCCTGTGATGTTGGTACCTTGCTATTGTTCCTTTTTTTTTCACTACTGTCTTTAAAAAGAAAGAAAGAAAGAAAGAAAGAAAGAAAGAAAGAAAGAAAGAAAGAAAGAAAGAAAGAAAAGAAAGAACCGGGTCTTCAATTGTTGGGAATGCAGATCATATAAACTGCAGTGTTGCCCGACGAGGGGGCGCACCTGTACTTGGGAGGTTGAGGTAGGAGGATCGCCGGGAGTTCCAGGCTAGCCTGAATCACAGAACCAGAGCCTGTCTCAAAAAACAAACAGCCCGACGTGGTGGCGCATGCCTGTAATCCCAAAACTCAGGAGGCTGAGGCAGAAGGATCATTGCGAGTTTGAGGCCAGCCTGGGCTACAAAGTGAGCTCAAGGCCAGCCTGAACTGCATAGCGAGACCCTGTCTCAAAAAGACAAAAACAACAACAACAACAGCAACAAACACCATTGCAATGTGAAATGAATTATAAATTCGCTGGTTCTTTGACTGAACCATGCACCTAATATACGTAAGCACCGTGCTGGGGATAGAAGATAAAATGACGAAAAGAAATCCTGGCCCTCAAAAGATAGGAAGAAGAAGATGAAGTAGGAAAGAAATCAGTCAGTCCTGGCCCACAAGCGATTCACGATCCAGAGAAGTAGGGGAGATGTAAACAATGCCACTCTACTGTTACAACTATTTGAGGGAAGGCTGAGAAGGCTAAAAAGCTGGAGGAAGGCTCAGTCCTCGCCCACTGCTGAGAAGTCCTGATGGAAAAGGCTAAGTCTTGGAGAATGAGTAGGAGTGGGACAGGCGGAGCAGCCGAAGTGAGTGCATATTAGGCAGAGAGATTGGCAAATGCATGCGAAGGAACGAAGGCGTGAGAAAGCCGTGTTTTGTGCGGTGCTAAGTAGTTCCGTTCCTGTATGGAGCCCTTGAGTATGCGGGAGTGGCAGAAGATGAGGCTTGGGAAACTCACTATGTTTCAGTTCCAAAAGCTCTTTCCAAGTAAAAGAGAGAACAGAAAACCTCTAAATGTCTATGTGCGCTCCAGAGGCCAACAAAATAACGTTGAGCTGTGAATAATCAAACATCTGATTCTACAGAGGGAGCAGAGCAAGCCCATTGAAATAAGGAAAATGTATTGTTCTTTCACCAAGCGTTTGCTGAGCATCAGCTGCATGTGAGATGCTCTGTAGGGTAAAAATGAACCAGACAAAGCCTCTGCTTTCAGCAGTTTTGTTGTTGTTTTGTTTGCCCAGGGTTGCTCTACCACTGAGCTACATCCTCAGCCCTTTTTATTTTTTGTGTGTATTTTTGATACAGAGTCTCTCTTAAGTTGCCCAAGCTGGTCTCAAACTTGGAATCATCCTGTCTTAGCCTGTGGGGTTACAGGCATGTGTCACCTGGCTAGCAGTTTGTAATGCAGAGTTGCCTAGTCTGAAAGAAAAGAATTGGCCCTAAGTGCCACTGAACTGCACAGAGAAGCTGCCCCAGAGGAAAGAGCCATTACTTGGTGATGAGATAGTCAGGAAAGAGGTGGTTTGAACTGCAAAGTGAGAGCACAGAGGAAAGTGATGGAATCTGCCAGTATTTCAGATTGGGAAGAGCCAGGGTTTGGGGGAGGAATAATGAGAGAGGCTGGGTAGGTTTCATTTTCAAGTGATGCGCAACCTGGAGGGTTTTTGATAAAAGGCAGAAATAACAAGAGGATCATCGATGTAACCACCTGAGCTGTTTAAAGTCATCGCGCCCCCCAGGATGGGTAATGTCCTCCCTTTTACAGACTCAATAACTGAGGCTTCAAGAGGTTAGTAATACACCCAAGGAAACCAAACTATGGTAGGCCAAGGTTTGAACCAAAGGCTTGTCTTGTTTTAAAACTCGTGTTTTTTCCCCTGCTGAGACACTTCATTTTAAAATGGTAGCCAAAAAAAGGGAAAAGAAATAAAAGAGAAAGGTTTGCCTGATCAGCAGAGGTGGGAGCAGGGGCGTGAGGAAGACTTGCAGTTCTTTGTTCTGAGCGGGCCCAGAGCGTAGGGAGAACAGCGGAAATATTTGTCACTCAAGGACCAGCTTAGGAACCAACAGAACCATGTAGAATACTTCTAACTGTTGGGACCACTGACCTTCATGAAATTTCTATTTACTTATTTATTTTTTGGTTTTTGGTTTTTCTCCGGTACCGGGAACTGAACTCACGACCTTGCGCTTGCCAGGCAGGCGCTTTTGCCACTGAGCTAAATCCCCAGCCCCTCCTTCATGAAATTTCAGTCATCTCTGTCCTGGCTAGATCGTGCCCCCAGAGCTGGGGAAAGCCCTAAAAAAGGGACTGATCGGTACTGTGCTCAATGATTAGCATTCAGATTCAATGTATTAATTACTGGGGGGGAGATCATGATGTTACTGCGGGTCCACAGGCAAAGCAGCTGCACCGTGAAAACCTCGACTTCAGACACTTGTAGCATCCACGTGTGTTTAAGTGTTGTTTAAAACAAGACAGAGCCGGGCGTGGTGGTGTACACTTATAATCCCAGCATGGGATTACAGCTCGGGAGGCTGAGGCAGAAGGATCCTTGCGAGTTCGAGGCCAGCCTGGGCTACAAAGTGAGCTCAAGGCCAGCCTGAACTGCATAGAGAGACCCTGTCTCAAAAAGCCAAAACAAAAACAAAAAAACAAAAAACAAAAGTTCAAGGGCAGCCTGGGCTACATAGTGAGTTCAAGGCCAACTTGAACTACATGGCAAGATTGTGTCTCTAAAAAAAATTATTTAAAATGAAAGAACTCTAGCTTCTATTTGTACTTAATCCACTAGCTCCTGTTTTGCACAGCCACATATTTGTAATGATGTTCTATGTTGGGCATTCTGCTACAAAATAACAAAACAACACTTGGAGAAAGAAGGGAGAAGAAGCTGAGTGGAGGACACAGTGAAGGGGGAAGGGCAGGTGAGGAGTTCTACATTTTCAATTTTGAAAATGTAGAACTCAACACTATGGGAGACATGCAGGTGGAACTATCCAATGTGCTATTAAAAACCTTATGCATTCAGCCAGGCGTGGTGGCACACACCTATAATCCCAGTGCTTGGGAAGCTGAGGCAGGAGGATCATTTTGAGACCAGTCTGGGCTACAAAGTGAGCTCAAGGCTGGCCTGAACTGCATAGCAAGACCCTGTTTCAAAAAGACAAAAATAGATAAATAAATAAATAACCTCATGTGTTCATTCATTCTCTCTACCAACATTAACTGAGCATCTATTCTGTTGCAGGCTGGAGAATACTTTCATACTTCTGAGAATATGACAAGGCTCATACTAACACTTTTGGAAGCACAAAGCCAGAGACCTTATCTCTTCCAGGATCATGGAAGGCAGAGGGGGTGAGGTTTAGGCTGAGATTCTTACTAGTGTAAGAGAAAGAGAGTGTTCTAGGACACAGAAGCATGTGGCATGTGAGTGAGGCAGAGAGATTCATGGGCTCCGTTTATGGGATGCTGAAGCAGGGTTGGGCCACAGTCAGATTGTCATCTGCAAAATGCTTTATCAGGGCTGGGGATTTAGCTCAGCGGCACAGCACTTGCCTGGCAAGCGCAAGGTCGTGAGTTCAATTCCCAGTACTGGGAAAAAAAAATGCTTTATCACCGTGGTTGCTAAGTGGGAAATCGATTGAAACTAAGATAGTTATAACCTACAAGATTAATGTTAGGGGCTGGGGATTTAGCTCAGCGGCAAAAGCGCCTGCCTGGCAAGCGCAAGGTTGTGAGTTCAGTTCCCGGTACCAGAGAAAAAACCAAAAAAAAAAAAAAGATTAATGTTGCAAGTCTGTTGCAAGGCCCCTAAAGATCAGCCCCTGCCTGCTGCCCTGCCCTCTGAGTCCCTGGCCAACATAAACTCCACCAATACTAAACCACTCATGGTTTCCGGAAGGTGTCATGATCACTTGAATGTCCATATCTCTGCACATGCAATTTCCTCTACTCAGTTGGCCTTCTCTATATTTAGGTCTCCAAGTTAGTACT